AAGTAGGATTTATTCCAGGGGTGTGAAGATGGTTCGACATTCATAAATCAATGTGAAACATCACATTAACAAAATGAAGGATAAAAATCATATTATTGTCTCAAAAGATACAGAAAAATCATTTGACAAAATCCAACATTCTTTCATGATAAAACCTCTCGACAAACTGGGTACAGAGGGAGTGTACCTAAACATAATAAAGACCATATATGACAAGCCCACAGTAAAATACACTCAACAGTAAAATACACTCAACAGTAAAATGCTAAAAGCTTTTCATCTAAGATCAGGAACAAACGAAGATTCCCACTTACACCACTTTTATTCAACATAGTATTGGAAGTCCTAGCCAGATCAACTAGGCAAGAAAAAGAAATAAAAGGCATCCTTTTCCTCCCAAAATAGCTACATGGGACTAGCAGCTACCATATCTGACATTACATTCCATTTTACCCATGGATATATCTGCACAGTGTTTATATAGCAAATACACATAGTTTTTCTTTTATCCTATTATGTACATGGTTTGAAAAGTTTGTTCAAAGAACCAGCCTACTAATCATTCACTATACCTCATGTAGAATAAGCAGAAATGCATCAGCTTTATGATAAAATGCCAGCCTAACAGAAGGACATCTTGTTTGCATTGCAATAGACCGAGTGTCAGATTCTAATTTTGTTACTCACTGGCACATTAGGGGATAGTTTTTAATTCATTTTTTTTCTTCCTTTTAACAAAACTCTGTGGAGACCTCTTCATCTTGTCACGAGTTAAGAGCAAGGTTGCCTTATTTTCGAGTGCTATAGTGTCCGAGTTTCACCCCATCAACACTACATTTTTAAAGAGCTACTTTGTTGCCTTCTCTGTTGATTGGCGTAATATTCTGCATCATGCGGCCTTCTTATTTCACTTTTCTAGTCCCCTAGGAATAGACACCTGTATTGCTTCCAATGTCCCACCTCAATGAACAATCTTATATGGTACAAAACTTTCAATGAATAGAAAAACTTGGAACAGAACTGCCAAGTCATAGTTCTCTCAATTTATTGGGAAGCCAGTAACTGACTTAAACAAGACAGAATACATATTTGTCTCTGCTGGTGGACGGCCTGGGTACTCTGGGTCCTTCTGTCAGCTGCTCCACTCTCCTCTAGGGCAGTATCTCCAGGGACATTTGACTGTGCGTGGAAACATCTTTAGTTATCACACCTGGTGGCGAGGGGTTGTGCCACTGACATTTGGAGGATGGTGGCCAGGTATGCTGCTCAATATCCTGCAATGCACAGGACAGCCCTCCTGCCCCATGACCAGGAGTTATTTAGACTCAAACGTCAACAGTGCTGCCTGATCTAGAATGGTCTTCACTCTTTTTCTTCATGACTGACTGGTTAAGAGAGACTGGAACAGTTGTGCATTCTACCCTCTGGATTTGTCTGTTGCTTCCTGATGCTGTCATTTGTTTCCAGATCCCTTCCATTTCCTGTCAACTGAATGTTAGTTTGAGAGACTTGATCAGAGCCAAGTTTAACATTTTGGCAAGATATATCTTAAGGGAAGCTGTGAACTTCCTTTTGCATCACACTGAGAGACCCATGAAGCCCTCGGTCCCTCTACTGTGATACTGAGCTTCATTAAAACTGACACTGGTGACATTCTGGCCCCTGTGGCAAAGTCCATTCCCCTACACCCAGTGAGCCCTCTGGTGCCTTGTACATATCTTGTTCCCCATTATTCTCTCACCTGATGCTTTATAATGCCCATGATGATCAGTGCCTCAATCTATTATTTCATTGGCTTTTGCAAAACGGTAATTTTTCTAATTCTCTCATTACTTCTACATTTTTTTTTTTTAAAGCTAGCATTCTTCTTGGACTGTTTGGTGACTGTAAAACACAGCTACTACTGGGAAGACAAAGCCATGCTTAATTCCTTACTTTTAATTGCCAGTGTTTCCAGGAAGGAGTTGATGGAGAGATGCTTTCAAAAGTATAATAAATCTGTATGTTTTAAACTTTCGAATTCAGATTTAACATACATAAAGCGCACAGATCTAGAGTGGAAAGCTCGGGAAAATTTTATACTTATATACCAGTGCAACAACCATCAGATAAAAATAAAGATCATTTCTAGCCCTACGCTGCCTTCCCTGCCATGAAAACTTACAATGAATATTTGCGATTGAAGAAATAATTTCCAGGCATGGCAGTGCCACCTTGGGGTTTATAGACTCGGGAAGGTGAGGAAATGGGTAAGAGGTGATACAATTTCTAGGTCCCCCCTCCTACATGGCTGGCCCTAGGACTGGACTGTCGCACAGCAGCAGCTACAGGGGCTGAGTGACTTGCTTTGCCAACTGGGATGGATCCTGGGCACCTCCTGCCTGAAAGACTCATTAATTCTGGGGTGGGGACTTGTCAGAACTGGGGCTCAGCTGGCATTTTCAGGCAGAGTGGGGCTGCTGCTGCTTCTCCTCTTCCACTGTGGGGCACACCCAGGGGAAGCAAAGCACACTAGAAAGTCCTAGAAAAGCAGTCATTCTGTCTGGACTCTGCTGCCTCCAGCTGTGTGGCCCTGGGGGAGCTACTTCCCTCTCTGAGCCTCTGTTTGTTGACCTGTCATGTGACGGGAATATTCTACTTTGCCAGGTGTTGGATTTCATCTGGCTACCTTAACTCTCTGACTCACCTCCTGGTGCTTTCCTCTTTGCTTATTCTACTCCAGCCAGATGTTTGTTCCTAACCCCTAGGCCTTGGCTTCTGCAGTTCCCACATCAGTTTTGGGGAGCTTGCATCTTCTCACAACCCAGACTCAGTTCTCATGACCCCATCTCAGGTAACATGGCATCATATCACTCTTCCTGAACACCCTCTAATGTTGCTCCTACAGCCCTTATAAACCTATTTTTTATGTATTAATTGAACTGATAATTCTGTCTCCCCTAGTAGAATGGAAAGTCTAAGGACTTGTCTGTTTATTTCACTTTTACAGCCTGGGTCTTGCACAGAAGTGTAATGTTGGTTGAACCAGGAAACAAGTTCAGAGAGATGAAGCCATTGTTTCATTGTCACACAGCAGAACTGGAATTCGAACTTTGGGCTCTAAGACTGCTTTTTCCTTCCTCCTGTCTCTGGTAGGGACTGGGGCACGAAATTTAACGGGGTGTCTAAAAACCGTCAAGATTATTGTTTGAAAAAATCAAAATCAATGCAAAAATATGATCAAAAATATATCTTTTTTTAAGTACAAAAGACAAGCTCTGACTCTGCACTTGCATGACTCATTTCACCCTAATCTCAGTCTTGGCGGTTCATCATGGATTTTTTCCATTAATTTTGATATTTAAAAAATACTACATTAGAATATTTATCTTGATGATTGAGTTGTTGCGCCCGAGGCGCTCAACCTTTCATCTTTCTTCTCCCCTGTGGAAACTGAGGCATGGAGGACCGGAAGAGAGGGAGGAGGGCGGTGCGGAGTCCTGCCTGCCGAGCAGCCTGAACTCCCTCGGGAGGGGCCGAGCGCTGACCTTAGCTTATCGCCCTCGGCGGAAGCAGCTAATTAAGTCCTTCGCCTGTGGGAGACCTTTCCCAGGGCGCCCCGCGCCGCCTGCCGGGCTGAGATAGTCGCGGTCCTCCGGGTGCAGTGACCTTTACCGACTCCAAGGGGCAGAGAGATAGAAGACTCGGCGGCCGTGTGTTCAACTAGGTCTGGGCGGAGGTGGCGAGACGGGGGTTGCTTGGATGCTGGGACCTGGTATCAAACCCCGCCTCGGCTCCCCACGTACAACCTATCATCATAGGGCGATGGGGGTAGGGGAAGAGCGCCCCGTGACGTCATCGAACCCCGAGCCCAGCCTCCGCCACTGATGTCACAGATGAGCAGCGGTGCGTGGCCGCATTCCTCCCGTGACGTCAGCGCTCGAGGCCAAGAACTGGCTAACGAGGAAGAAAGAAGTTGAAGGAAGAGATCTTTTCCTTTCTCGTCCTTTATATTTGGTAAAGAACTTATAATACGCAGGAGCGGACTACCACTCCCAGAAGGCCTTGCGTGCTGCGTATGCGCAAAGCCTCCAGTTAGGGAGCGCGGCAAATCTTTGGGGCAGACTGAAGTCCCTTTAGTCGAACCAGAAGGCAGGTTTTATAGCCGCAAACCAATCCCGACCTCACAGACCCAACCCCTTTATTCTTAGCCCGCTGCTTCCTTGCGGGAGTGACGGGCTCCGCTGCCTTTAATGGTTCAGTTTCGTTTGATGGACATTCCTACTGATGAATCAGAGTGCCAGGAATTCAAGGGGGTGTTGAAAAGCGTGCCTTGGGACCAATGGCTTAGCGGCAGGGCCTAGCACCATCCAATCACTTCTCCCGGAGCCGCCAATCACCCTGGGCCCCGCCCCGGCCCGTGACGTAAGTAGGGTGGGTAGCAACAGTTGCCCCGGTGAGGGAAACGGAGGCGCCATAGCCACGGTAGTCGTGGCGACCAAGCAACCCGGCAACGCGAGTCAACAACAACAACCGCCCGGCCGACCCCCACCCCTACCCCCACCCCGGCCCGGCCCGGGGTCCCCGGCACGTTCCGTCCCACTCCCAACATCGCCTCCGAGACCTCTGGAAAGCCCTTCTGCGGACAGAAGTGGGGAGAAGCCGAGGTAACAGGGGCGGCCCCGGGGTTGCTGGCCGGGCCGGGGAGGGCGGCCGAGCCCGGGCGGTCGGTGTCTCTGTAATCATAGTTCGGGGGGAAGGGGCAGGCGGTCAAAATGGCGGCGGCGACTGTCGGGGCTGTGGGGGAGGGGGCCGGGGCCCGGCTGGGACGACACCACCCGCCTCGGGCCCCGCGGCCCGGCCCCCGCGAGGGGCGGGCGCTAGCAGGCCATCG